GGCATTGTGGACATGTCGATAGTCGTCCTGCGAACGCTTTTCCTGGCTGTCGTGGGAGAAAGCGTCGCTGAGGTGAGAAGTTGACATGGAGAAACCGTAGGAAGATTTTTGGCGTTTCTGCGCTTGGTCGAAGACGGCTAATTGGTGAAGCCTGAAGCCTGTAAGGCCATAGGGTAAGGCAGCTTGTTCAAGATGAAGCTGATGTTCGTAAGGCAAGGAGGAGAAGTCCAAATCAGGTTGGGAGAGCTGTGAGGGATACGGGGGTGCCGGCTCTAATGAGTCGATGTCGTCATGGCCGAAAGGGCGCCTTCTCTTCAAGCTGGGATTGTTCTAAAGGAGACCATTTGTCAACCATCGACAGTTCGCCTCTGGTCAAGGGGATCGGAAAAGTCTGAGGGTGGGATGGAACAAGAGAAAGCAAGGGATGACAGGTTCGGGACAGGCATCGATGTGAGAGGGGCTGAGGCGTGAGGATGTGGGTGGATGGGCCATCAGGCTGGGCTGGAGGCGTGATTGATATAGGTATCCATGCAGCTGCCGCCTACCGGGGACCAGGGACGATTCTTACCATGATGGATGGAGGGTGGGTGTGTTGGACAGAAGCCGGGCTGTCAGTAGGAGCAACATGTGCAAGTACCACGGCTGGTGGGACGTGCCGGAGCAGAGACAAGCAGAGAGCAGGAACAGGCAGATACAGCTACGCACAATCGGTGCGAAGTAATGTGCGCCTCACCGGGAGGGGGTGGGGAGCTACGGTCTCACGAGAGCCATTGCTGCACCATGACACCCTTGCGCGGAAGTGGAGCGCGGCAAAAGAGTAGAGAAGGGAAGGGACAATGGATGGCTCGATGAGCAAATGTCGGGGAGGCGTGGCAGAGTAGCGAGGATGTGGATGTAGACAGGAGTCGGGGTAGAAACGGAGTAAAGCCAATTCGGCTGTACCCAGCAAGTGATGGGGGTTGATGAGAGATGGAAAAAGTGAGTCCGCTGCTACTGGAAAAGGACCCTGCTGCTTGTGCGTTGATCTGCTGCTGCGGCTGCCGTGCTGCTGACGCCGACAATGCTGCTTCTGATGCTGCCAAGTCTGCCTGCTGCCGCTGTTTGACCTCTGGCTGGTCTGTTCACTTGCTGCCGGCCTGCCTGTCTGTTTGTTTGCCCACCTGACGATGCTTCGTTTGACGCCTAGGCACGGAAAGCACCGTAATAGCTCTCAGGATGCTCAGCAGATGGTGGCGTGGGATTTGCGTTGTGCAATGTTTCGCCTGCCGTGAGCAGTCAAGCCTGCGCGTTCTGGGATGTGAATAACGTGCCGGTTATACGTGTTGGTGACGGCGATTGGATATCTCATGAACTGCCTTCATCGAGTTTGTCGAGGCTGAGGAGAGGAAGTCACACCGAGATCAAATGCTGCACCCG